AAATGGAGCCCGAAGGTGGTGATATCAGAAGGAACTACCTCTTAGTGATCCCACTGGAAACAGAGCCCAATGGTGATAATATTAGAAAAAATCGTCTGAACATTGGTGTAAAGATTCAATCCCGTTATCTCAGAGCTCGAACGGGTTCCTGCCATGATTATTGCAAATATGGAGTGAGAAATCCTTCTCAAGAAAATGCACCCAGTGCAATGCCAAAATTGGATACAGCAACTGGAAGTGCAGGCCAGAATCTCAAAGCAACTAATTCAGTAGACACAGAGAGGAAAAAGATGCCCACAACCAGTCCAAAGCCTTCTCTAGATTCCGACACTCAGAAACTTGACTATTCAGTTGTCACAGAGAAAAAGGTGATATCCACAACTGCTCGTAAGTCTTATCCAGATTCTGGAACCCGGAAACTTAATAATTCTGTTGTCACGGAGAAAAAAGTTTTATCATTGACAAAGAAAGAAATTATTTCTTCAAAGAAAGTTTCGTCTCCCAAGGAAATAGATGTTTGTACAGAAAATTTGGTTGATTCGAAGGTGAAGGCCGATCAATTAGAGCCATCTTCTCTCCAAGGATCTGTCCTAAGCCTGAACAATTTGGAGGGGATAGTGACAATCAATCCTAAGTCATCTCCAGATTCGGAGATCCAGACATCTGTTGTCGCAGAGAAAAGAGTTTCATCTTCCTTTAATGATATAGAAGTTTCTTCAGAAGATTCCATAGATTCGAAGTTGAAGGCTGAGCAATTAGAACCATCTTCTCTCCCAGGATCAGTACTAAACCTGAGTAATTCGAAGGGCATATCCACAATCAGTCGTAAGCCTTCTCCAGATACAGAAACCCTGAAACTTGATCATTCTGTTGTCACGGAAAAAAGAGTTTTACCATTGAAAAAGAAAGAAAAAGTTTCTTTGAAAAAAGTTTCAACCAACATTAAGGAAATTGATGCTTGTACGGAAGGTTCCCTTTCAAGGGTGAAGCCTGAGCAACTAGAGCAATCTTCTCTCCCAGGAAAAGGTTCACATAATGAAGTAAAGAGTGGAAGACG